TGATGAGAAGTCTCAGCATTTACTGACAGTGAGATGGAAGGAATTACATTTTACACCAAAAGTTGCTTTCTTTACAAGCAGCTAATGTGAAAAGCAAGGCTATGACATGTCCTTTCAGATACAAGGACATGTCATACCATTTGCTTCCAATTTTAATTGTTCCGGTGAGCAACAATTTCCCAGCTCCCTGTCAAAGAAGGAAAATTCAGTTCTTGGTAAATTCAGTTCTTGTGTATAAATCCCTCAGAAGACAAGGTCTTCTGTTTTCATTTAGAGACCACAGGATCATCACAGGGTTTACCTTGGTCTCATGGAGAAAACTATTTAAACTCATGTCTAGATTGTACAGGTGATCCCATCTGTCAGTCTGTTGAGACCCTTTCTGCTGTCTCTTGCCCTAATTTTTCTCGATTTTTAGGGCGTCTTCTGGCAAGAGAGATGTAGTCAAGAAATCCAGGAAATAGCATTATCAACTTGTGATGCTTTCTCACCTGGCTTTCTGCAAAGCTCTAATAACAAGAAAAGTTGGTATTGACCTATTAATAATTAATAGCACCCAGTGCAAATGAAGCACTTCTGTCATAGGGCTTCATGAGTAAGGTCACAGTACAATAGGGGTTGCAGGTTTTGTAAGCATGAGTGGTATTTGCATATGTCAGAACAGACTGTGCATGCTAACAGCACAAACACTTCACATCTGCTTCTGTTTACTCCCATGCTAACACCCCAAAGTACAGGAGTCCTGTGTTAATTGCTCAGTTACATACTGACTGTTGATGTGTTCTCCACAGAGCTTTTCATAAGTGCACTGTTGCAAATAAACTGCTAATGACTGCTTATTCCAGCCACCCTTTTAAGGAAATCTACAACACACACAGATTAATGATTCCTCTATTTAGCAGTGTGTCTTGTGACTAGGTTTGCATAGAAGCAGTATCAATTAAGTAGCAATTATCTGCAAAGTGGAAAAAAAGAGGGAAGATATAAATAAGTAATGAGCATGATGCTAAAATCTCTGAGAACAACTAGAATTGAACACTGAGGCAAGGGCACCGACTAGTGAACATTTTCCCCCATATTTTCTTATACCTTAAATCCATTGAGGCCCCATGAAATCCAGAACAAACACAAATATGTAAGTTTCTTAAGTGATTTTTTAATATTTGATTTTCAAAGGGACCACTATTCTGAAAAAGCAAACAAATGTTTGCAACTATACACCATTAACATGACAGTTTACAAAGAAAAAGATTTGTCCCATAAATGTTTATTTTTTAAAAGGACTTTTAAAAAAAGTATCAGATTTTCTTTTTCTTAGTAACTAAGGTTAGCACAGAGTCCCAATTTTCCCTTCTATTTTTATCAAGCAACAGCAATTTTCAGTACCTCATAAGACTTATCTGAAACACTCCATTATGTGACTATAAAATAAAAAACTAAAAGAGGTTCTGAGAATATGCGTAGTGTCCAAATTGGTAGGGTTGGTAACAAATTTCTAAGATCTATCTTTGTTTGTTTAATACCCACATAGGTCCTTTCAGGCTCAAGCCACCCTCAGGAGACTCTCAGAGATTCAGATACCATGACATCTCTGCAGGGCAAAGGACTGTTGGAATCATTTGGCTTTGGTTCTTGTCAACCAACACTTTTCAGTCTTACAGCCTTTCACCAACAACAATAGATTGCATAGAAAGGAAATTAGAGCAAATAGCCAAATATTTTAAGGTTTCTCCACAGAATCTAGAGCCCAGTAAGTCCTCTAATAGCTTGTTTTCTTAAGGATGAATGATTATGATAGGTTAAAAGTTTTTTTTTTCCTTTTTTGCCTGTAGCAATCATTATTTTCCTAATCCCAAATGAAGACATATGACTTGACAGCAATGTATAAAGACAATTAGAAATATGAATTGCATTTGACTTGAATACATTTGGGATACTTCAACAAAGAGAACCAATAAAAAATAAACTTAAAGAACAAGGAAGTCTACTTCCTTGCATTACTCCAGTCCAAAGTGGGCTGTTCCAGGGACTGCGGGGTCATGGCAGTATACCATTCTGATTTTCTTTCAGAAAACCTGCTATAAGACTAATTGCTGCACCTTCAGATCTGCCAAGATATTCATGTTGAGACGATAGACCCTTGCTACTCCCAACGAATGATTAAATATGCCAGTGGCATCAAAGCCAGGTCATTTCTGCCCAATGAAGGACTGTGTTCCATGTTGGCTTGGCTGAGACTTCTCAGAGATACTCTGCAGTCTGGAGCTCACCTTTATCCAACTACCTTCTTTTCTGCTCTCCTTTCACAGGTGTCAGAACTGGAATGCAGTCCAAAGACTCTTCAGAAATCTTCTCCCTTTCCCCTTTACCTTCCTCAAATATTCCCTTCCCACCCCTCATAGTTGCTATAGATTCAGACTTGTTTAGGTACATTATTTTCTTGCAACTGAAAAGTCTTTATATAACTGCAGGTACCCGATCCCCTTATCTTAAATCCTTTGCATCAAATGTGTTTCTGAAATCAGAATTTGGTGTTTCTAGCTTATATATTAACCTCATTTAAAGAATTCCACAGTTATTAACAGTGAAAACACAAATATGCACATAAAGTTTGATAAATAAAAGCTATGCATGATCACACATAAATATTGGTCACTTTTGCCAACAAATATGTCTACATAAGGTTGGGAATTTTCTTGAAATAAATTACTAAAATAATAATATTTTGGTTTTCAGGGCTTTCTGGATTTCATTTAGAATTGTAAATCAGGGATAACCTGATTTACCTGAACCTATTCATCTTTTTCACTGTTAATAGCTAAATTTACTCTTTGACTCATAATTTCCCCCTTCTTTTATTACTGATCTACTAGATCCAAATTCAACGGTCCTCAAGCTTCAATATCAACAACAATCTCTTGAAGACCTTTATCAACTCTCAATTTTTAATTCAGCGGGACTAGTGTAAGGTCCAGGAACCTGCATTTTTAACAAACAGGGAAGCCATTACTACTACTTGTGACTCTGATACTGAAAGTCCTGGGATTTACAATTTGAAACCACTGTTCTGGATTGTGAGCTCACTTTTCATTGTGGTAAAGTACTAATATTCTCAATTCCAGGACTAATATGGATTTTGAAGCTCTTTGTTTTTTAAACATAGAAACAGTTACCTAGCTTAATTCTCTTGTTCTGAGTTTGAGTACTTTTTCAGATAGGTCATATAGCCATTCGCTTCCCAGTGTGATATTAACTTCACCAATAACTCCTCAAAGATGTTTATCTGGGAATGATAGGAGTTAGCTTATTGAACTGAAATAGAGTTGAATAGTGTCCACTTAACTTTGAGTATCTGTCTCACCAGAGTATCAACTTTGAGCTTACAGAATTGTACAAGGAATCCAAAATTTCCATTATAGTTGGAGATTTAGGTAGGAAAACTATAGATAAACTGATGGGTAAATGAATCCACAATAGGTACGTAGGACAAAATGAATGTATAAATGGCATGAAATGAATTTGTAATTGTACTCTCAACTCAATACTACTTTCAGCTTTTTCACTTGCAGGGCCAATTTTATTTTGCTTGGTAAAAAAGTTGTATTTCTAAAGTTACATTCCCTTTTGAAATATTTTTTCTGATTTCTATTTTAAGCTGAGTGCTTCCTGACACTGCGGACTAATCACAGACTAGAAGGGGTTATGTTAAGAGAAGCAGTAAAGGAAAACAATGTTTATAAAAGGTTCTTGTTAGGTATTTGGTTAATAAGTTTTCTGAAAATGTTTACTCCCTTTTGTAGGAATTTAAAGTTCTCTGCTAATGACAACTTGAATGGTCATTAATACTAATATTAACACTAATATTAATAAGGGGAACATGAGCTAAATTAAGTTCAAAAGCATCCTTAAGAACTATATATGGTTGCAGTTATTTTTATAGGCTCAAGATTATCAAACTATAAAATATTTTGCAAGAGTTAACTGGAATTAGAGGTGGAACATATCCCTGGAGAAACAACTTTAAGAAAAATGTTATTAAAAAAAAAACCTGTTCATTTTTATATTAAAATAAACAGAGGCACTATGGTATAGTATCAAAATTTGGGTGCTTTAACTAGTAAAACACAAGGCTGTGAAGATATATCATAAATAAAAATGCCTCTTTGGACTCAGACCTCATACCCTATAGAGGTCTGTCTTCTTTCTCAGTGACTCAGGGTAAGCTAGTGAAAATGTTTAGAAAACACTGCTGCTGATTGTGATGTGTATGGTTAGGTATTTCCTGTAAAGAGCATAAACGTGCCTACTTTGTTATTCTAGTGCCTGCCCTCAAATTCTCCATCTCAATTGCAATATATGGAGTTGAAAGTTATATGAAAATTGTGTGTTTTAGTTGTGCTACCAAGGATATGCAACCGGATGTTAAAATGGAACTATTTCTGACTGTTTTGGCTAAAGCCCCAAGACAACATTTGCCAACTATTCCACATTCTAAAGTTAGACCACCTAAGTAGGATTTAGAAATGGAGGAAATAGAGACGGTAACAACCTAAAGCAGGCCAACTAGGGCTGATGAGAAGTTCTAACTTTAGATGAAGTTTGATCTTACATGGATGGGACATTTTAATTGTCAAAATGAGACTTTCTTTTGTGAGTAGAACAGATCAGAGAGTTTTTTATTACTTATGAGTTACCAAAAAGTCATAGGATTTCCTCTTAATTTCATCTGAGTAGCAGAAAAAAATAATCCCACAAAGTGGGCTAGAATGAGATGGGGAGAAAGGGTAAGGTGGGAGTGAGTCAAGTGCTTTTATTTTTTAATTGTATACCTGAGACTGACATGCATCAGGAAGAAAGAAACCATATGAAGGAACATGTAGAGGGTGTAGCAGTTCTTTTCCATTTTGTTTGCTTTTAAGTGGCTGTGATGCTTATGCATATGAACCCTATCCATCAAAAGAAGACTTTTCCTTCTACTTGACAACACATTCTCTGCTTACCTATGCTGAATGTCTTGAACTTGATCCCCACTCACTGATGTTCTTGGTGTTCATTCAATCCATATTTTACTTGCTTTAAACATTGGGATGACACTATGTATCATCTAAAGGGCTTATATTCTCCCATTTGATGCTGCTGGGATGAATTTCTGATTCCATGGGGAGTGTCACACAATTTCCAGAAGTACCTGAGGCTAAAAACAAAAAAGAAAATTATAATGCAGAAAAATGATAAATAATCGTTATAACTTTCAAAAAAGTATTTAACACATGGTTTATTTGGAAAATCCACTATTAAATGGGTAAAGTTGGAACATTAAACATGAACAGAAGGGGTTAAGGTATCTAAAGGAAACTAGTGTGTTGGGAAGATGCAGGTATAAGAGCGCTTTACTAAGGGACTTCATCTTGAGGGAAATGTGAAGTCAATCAATTTCAGTTTTAAGCAAGCAAGAGAGAGAACAGTTGATCAGAGTTTTAGAAGAATTCATCTTATACATAATAACAAATGAAGGAGGAGGTGGGGGAATTTACAAATAGAAAAAACATAACCAGATTCCTAATGGCAGAGGAAGAGAGAGGAGAGGAAGAACAAGAGATATTTTAGAGGTACTCAGGCAAAGAGAGGGAGGGAGGGATAGCAAAAAAAGAAAAGGAAGGGTTGGGGAGGCATGACAAGAAGCGAGATAGGAAATCATAATACAGTTAATGATAATTTACTTGGAAGTTTGGAATCTAGGTATATTAAACAGAGAAACATCTCCCTCCTCTGCCCTCAAGAGATTCCATCCTAAACCCTGGAACCTGTGAAGATGTTACCTTTTTTGGCATAAAGATTTTGTTCATTAAGGATTTCGTAAATAAGTATTTTAAAATGGTGAGATTATCCTGCATTATCCAGGTAGGTTCACTGTAATCACAGTTTAGTTAAAGTTTTTTTTTTCTGACAGTTTTAACATTTTGGTCTGGTTTTATTGACACTGTCTTGGAAATTTTTTTTTTTTTTTGTATTCTTGCTCTTTGTGTATCATCTTAAAAACAGAATTCCAAATATTACATAAAAAATAAAGACCAGGGTAAATAATAAAATATGTTCATCTCTTTGATCGAGCTTTTAACATGGGCCTGGTACAGTGGTATCCGAAGAGTTTACCTGGGAGGTGGAAGGAAGTAAAAAATATATAAAATTAAAAAATAATAATTAAAAATAAATAATTAAATGTTAGTTCACGGGAAAAAAAAAGCCAAGAGAAGCAGGATTTTCCAAGAGCAGTTTAAGTGACAATCGAACCATGAATGGACACTTGGAAGAAAACCTGGCAAAATAAATGCCAATGGTATCTGGCAGAAGCTGAACAGCAACCCAGGAGACATTGGCAAATTCCTCCTGTGGCAATTATTTAAGTCATGAGGTACAGTTTTATCAGCTGTCATACAATAATAGCTGATCACATGAAGCTGTTAAGTGGACAAGAGAGGGGCACACATTTTTGTAGAGTGCCAAAGAGGAAGTATCTGAAAATTCCACAAACCTGTTACTAGAAGAGGTCATATTGGGGAATAGGATGATTATATTAATAATGACGGTAACAATGTGGCAAGTAAAATTTTAAGGGCCTCCCCGGTGGCACAGTGGTTGAGTGCTGGGTGGCGAAGCTGCCCGCAACCTCTGCAGCACCAGTTTCATCCCCGGCCGCCAGGCGAGGGTCCCACATGGCGCACAGACCTCTCCTGTCACCTGCTGCTCCCCTCAGCAGTGTACTTCCTCAGTCTGCCTGTACTCTTCTCCACTCTGGCTCTGGTGAATTCTCTCACCCTCCCACACTTCTGACTGTACCCAGTGCTTGTATAAATAAATAAATCTTTTAAAAATAATAAAATTTTAAAATTCCTGGGCCTCCTTGGTGGCAGGAGTTAAGCACCGCACTGTGAAGCTATCCACAGCTTCTGCAGCATGAGTTTGATCCCCCTGCCAGCCAGGGAGCAATACACATGGCACAGCAGACCTCTCCTGTCTCACCTGCTGCTCCCCTCAGCAGTGTACCTCAGTCAATCTGCCTGTTCTGTTCCCCACTCTGTCTCTGGTGAATCCTCTCACCCCCCGCACCTCTGGCCTGTACCCCAGTTCTTATATGCATAAACAAATAAATCTTTTAAAAAATGAATAAAAATTTAAAATTTCTTTTGTATATCAAAAGACTTGATTAATATTACACATATATTATGTAATCCTTATAGACTAGCTATACAGTAGTTTCCATTTTCATTATGTCCACCCAATTTATAGAGCTTGGGCTTCAAAAATCATAGTGAACAGGCCAAGATCACATGACTATAAATAAAAGACCCAAGTCTGCTGTCTCATGATTAAGAGGTGAACTATCATATTTTATCTAGGAGCTCAGTACCAGTAATACCTCTCATTAGCACATTACTTCTCCCATTTGTTTTCATGCAGGCTTACGTAGGCTGGAAATTGAGAGTTCTCTCTAATGGTCTGTAAACACCAGGCTTAATAAAAGCAAAATTCCTAAATATATTTGGAACTATAGTGTAAGAAAGTGTTTATAATTTTTCATAAAAGCTATCACAGCCATTTTAGAACTCAATAAATTATTAGACAAAATGAAAACAAGTCATCACTGTTTGGATTTACATGCTTGTACGTGTTCCATGCAAGTTATGAAGTGCAAAATATTTGAAAAGAATGACACTTGTATCTTACAGAGAAAAGCAATTGGACATAACTTAGAAAATAGCTTTGGCCTCTTTCATTTCACCTCATAATCACTTACGACCCTGAAATGACACTAAGCCTTCATATATAAACTGATTTTCTCTGGTGTCTGATTGCAAGCTGTAGGCTTTCATTATGAATATGGCATTGAATATATCATTTCTTATCATCATCTGTCAAGAAAAAAAAGCAAAGTAAGGATTAAGGAGTTCCTTAATGGATTGGCTTAACATTGATGATATTTTTACTATCTCATATTTTCTGGGTACAACATTATACATACCACAAAGGTGTTGCCACAGACCCTGAAGAATAAATGTGATAGAACTGAGAAAAATTCTGAGCAGTGATAGGGAACTTAACACTGATTGCAATATAAGTAGCACTTAAAGTTAAAAATCAACAAAATCACTTTAGCTGTAACCTAACAAACAGTAGGATGCCTTTTTGTCTTTTTATTTTACATCAAAATAATGTATCACATTTTGTTTTTTTAAGATTTATTGATTTATGCATACAAGAACTGGGGTACAGGCCAGAGGTGTGGGAGTTGAGAGGATTCACCAGAGACAGAGTGGGGAACAGAACAGGCAGATTGACTGAAATATACTGCTGAGGGTTGCAGCAGGTGAGACAGAATAGGTCTGTGCACCATGTGGGTAGCTCCCTGGCAGGAGATCGAACTTGTGCGTCAGTGGCTGCGGATAGATTCATAGGTTGAATCTTAACCCCTTGCGCCACCAGTGAGGCCCCTGTATCACATTTTCTTTATCCATTCATCCACTGATGGACACATAGGTTGTATCTTTATCTTGACTATTATAAAGAATGCTACAATGAAAATGGGGGCTGGTATCTTTTCAAATCATTGTTTTTGTTTTCTTCAGATACACCCAAAAGTAGAATAGATCATATGGTAGTTCTATTCTTAATATTTTAGAAACAGTGATACTATTTTCCATAGGCTGCACCTATTTACAGTCTCATCAACGATACACAAGGTTTTTTGTTTTTTTGTTGTTGTTGTTGTTCCATGGTCTCACCAAAACTCATTTCTTTCTTTTGTTTTTTAAATAACAACCACTCTAACAGGTATGAACTGATATCTTATTGTGGTTTTGGTTCTGATGATTAGTCACCTAGGGCATCTTTCCCTGTGCTTTTGGCCATTGGTATGCCTTCTTTGCAAAATGTCTATTCAGGGGAGGCCCAAGTCTAATCTATTTTAAGTTAATTTTTTTGTCTTACCACTTGCTCTCTACAACAGATTGTATGACACAGGACAAATCATCCACTCTTGGTTTTAAATTTCTTGTTGCTAAAACTGCAGCAGCTAGGTTTGTTTTTTATTTCCATGTCTTCCACCATCCTATAATTTCCCCTTCATTTCCCAATTTGCAAAGCCGAAATTGGTTTTAAAAAGAGATAAATGGATAAAGAGAAAATAGAGTAAATATGCAGCTTTTCAAGGAAAAAGTCTATTGGTTAAAGTAAAAAATATTTCATATAAAATATATAAAAAAGATATTTGCTTCTAATTTTTTAAAAATAAATGGCTTCCCTTGTTTAACTGTTACTTTTTTATAGTATAATATTCTTGAGTTCTTCTTTGGGTATAATTTTATTTATTTTAAAATATCATGCTGATTGTTCTATTTTGTTTCTTCATGCGTATTTTCAGATTTTGGGTTTTATTGCCCCATTGTTCACAGTGTTACTGTTTCTCAAATATTTGTCCTCTGTGATTATTGATCATGAACTCAAAGTTTGCAAGAGATATTTCCCACTACATTGTCCACTGCAACTTACGTTTGCTTTAAATTTTTGGTAGATGCCCATTATCTGGTTAAGAAATTTGTTATCTAGCCTTAGCTTGGTAGAGAGTTTTTTATTGTAAATTGGTTTAATTCATCTATCATCTCCAAACTTAGAAGCTGTTTTGAATACCATTTTTTTTTCCTGTTCTTTCTATCTAGTCAGATACCTTATTATAATTTTTGTGTTTTCAAGCTCCTTTAAATGCAGGAGGCTTCAAACTGTGAGATGTTTTCAGGACACTCAGTCCCAATTACTCTCCTTGTGCTGATTTAAAGGTACTCTCCTATTCCCATGTGAGTGTTAATAGCTCATTCCCCCTTGCTTCAGGGCTATGTCATGTCTGATACCCCTGTGCTCTGTCATGGTATCAGCATATACTCAAAGTTACAGCTTCGGGTTAGGTACTAAGGAATTTCCCTTTCTTTTATTGTCCTTTTCCTTTCTATTTTAAAGCTTGGTGGTGATTTATGCATTTTTGTTTTATTTTGTCTTCTACGTCTATGTATGTTGCTAGAAAGCATTTTAAGATAATCATATCACAAAAACATTTTATGTGCATTCTTTACACACCATGCATACTATGAGTCTGTTTGTAGAACAATAATGCAATTTAGGCATCTGATACATATTTTTCAAGTT